TACCTTTGCCCAAACAAGAGATCCAGGAGAGTACTTGTATAAGATATCCTCTTCCTTTGGGAGGGACTCACGTCTTTCAGGAGCATCACAATGCTTCTGTTCCTCATCTGCAAGAGAGTGAGGTAAGTAAATCTCAATCACATGACCTGGATGCATACGACAAAACCACTTTTGTGGTACAGAAGAAGCGTCATGACAGTCTGATAGATATCGCCATTTTCCACGATTTTCCACAGGCTGTCTCTTTATCACATTGAACAAACGCTTCTTCTGAATCCATTTCAGCCTCTCCCTTGCAGTTTTCTTTGATGGATGAGCAAATAGAATTTCTTGGCTGAACTGATGACTGCTATTAGGAGTACCTGGGTTTGCTTCTCTTGCATTGGGTGTCCTTCCATCCTGACGAGACTGAGGGGTACATGATATGGCTGGCGTTACTGGAGTTACCCGTAAATTGACATTTTCTAGCAATTTAATACGTTGAGTCTAGAGAAAGAAAACAATAATTTATAATTTGAAAACTGGAAATACCCGTATTTATAAGCCGCACCTATGTACCAATTTTTGAGACCCCTGAAAGTGGGGTGAGGCTTATACACTGGCAGTGATAGGGCACAGACAGATTCAGCCTAGCCCCTCCCAGGAGGGGGCACGAGGAGCCTACGCCGCGACCAGAGACAGCTAACCTGCCCCCGACCGCCCCACCCATATAAGTAAATATAAGAGATCGGAGAATAAATCTATGTAAACTTACAAGTTCAGAACTATCACACTCAACAATACTATCATCAACATTCGAGTCTTGACGTCTCTGTTGTTTGTAGTAATTTTCTAATAGTTTTATTCTCGTTGTGGCATCATTCTCACTACGCTTCTCAGCATCTCGCATTCTAGTTCTGGATTGCAAAGTAAATTAACCAAGGATTAATTTCAGAAACAGATTACCTTAATGTGAAAACAATTTAATAGATTTTAAGAAAATAATCTAAATTTTCAGGAGTAATTATACTTGAAAGAATTTTCCATGTCTGTTATCACTTTGGTAAAATACTGTGTCATGGTCTCTCTTATATTTCTCTCCAGTGTTAAGTTCTTCTCTTTTTCCTGAGTCACTTGCTGTTTCAATTTTTCTACTAAGAGTAGCAGCTCCTGTAACCATCCAATAGACATTATTTTTCACATTCATTCTTTTACAGAATAGGGAGAAAACAGCATCAAGACACAGATTAGAATTACTGTAAAAGGTGCATTACCTCATTCAGAGCTTTATCATTCTGGTGATTATCATCAGAACACTGTGATGAAGTACTCTTGTTTTGATCTAAAGAAAAATATTCATGTAGATTTTGTTAGACTACTTAGTAGACACAGAATCTGAGTACCGGTACTTACCATCCAGAGGAGCATCCCAGCAAATGGTGAGATGATGGTTAGGCTTGGTAACCATGATGGAGAGATGACTTTTCATGGCCACAGGTTTTGACTTTTTGATAGGA